CAAATAAGCCTTTTTTCCAAAAACAAAAAAATTGTCCTCCTTTAGTCCAGCGTTTTTCCGATTTGATTTTCATCTTGGTTTTCGGTTTTGAGAGCTCTTTATTCGACTCGAATCTCTTAGCATTTCCTCAAATTCGGTAATTGGGAATCTAGAGAATATCCTGGTTAGGGTAGCAGGTCGTGGTCTGCTTCAGTTTTTTGTCAAGGTGACACATACGAAAGCACAGCATTTTTTTCGTCAAATGAGGGCGCTTCTGCTTCAAATCAATATCGAATTTCTCCAAAAAGCTCGGAATAATATTTGCCAGTGAGATTTTCACTCTTTTCAAGGTAATCGATATGTATGACGTTGTTGGCGGCCGACAGATCCAGCTTGATCTCTTTAGTTGCACATTCACCCGACGAGACCCACTGCCTTGATCGTGTCTTGAGTCTCTGGTCTAATATGGTGGATCGTTTACGCTTAGGAAATACTTTTCATGTGGAAATATTCATGTGAAATATGTGAGTTGAGTTGCTTACAACCTCAAACATCTCATGCCCATCTATTCTTCGTTCATTCAATATCTTTTCATCGATACTATCGACGATTTCTGACGTAACAATCCCTGTCCTGGGCGACCTGTACTGTTTGTGCGATCACAATGGAACTCAGTAAATCACTTCTTAACTCTTGCAATTGTTGGTGTAGAGTCTCCATATTATTTATTAAGTCTTTACTTAGTTTCAGTGACTGGAGCTGTGTCGTATTTACAGTTAAGTTAGGTTATGTTGTGGTGAATACCGATTTATACAGTTGGATTCACTTAGGTCTGACTAAAATCCATTGTGATGCTACAAAAACTTGACCATAAGACTTCATTATCGAACCATTTTTATACTCCAATGAACTTCATTAAACCCATGGCTTTGAAGTCGGCTATCTTCGATACAACATTCAACAGTAGGGTTAACAAATCCGAAACCGAAAATTCTGAAAAATTCTAGAAACCTGTTCAAATCAGACTCACTGTTACCCTGTAACTAGTGAAATCTACGTGAGAGACAGTCTGTCCTATTTGCCCATCTCCTGTAGAGATCGTCGACAGTCCAGCACTAATTTGGAATTTAGCGTAAGCGAGCCCAGTGCTCTCATTGCTGCCTGACTGCCGCTGAAAATGAAGATATCCTTATCTTTAACGCTAGCTCCGATTTGCTTTGCAGCCTCTATGCTTTCGAAAACACTGCAATGGCCGGGTAGCCTGAAAGACAGTGCCAACGGAGCATTCCCTATGAAGACAGATATTTATAGTAGTGACGCGGCAAATTCGAAAAGTCACTGACTTATCACACAGCCCTCTTAGTACTGTTGTTGCTTGTCCCTCTTGGCTTGAGACTGCCTGGGTGTAGCTGTACCTCGCTTGATGTACTGTTCGCTGTGGTGATGGCCAGCGGAAGCGCCCGCAGCTTCGGCCGCAAACATTTACCGTTTTTTTTTTCAATTTATGTCCTTGCATGGCTTCCTCATGCTACGAGGATGACTGTTTGCATTTCTGCGGCATTCCGACACGATTGGTCCAGCATAATTTTTTTCGTGGCTTATTTTTTATGAAATTTTTGACATTTGCTTTTATCAACTACTCTTTTTTTTAATATTTTTTACTATTTTTAGCATTTTTTTTGTTGGGATACACTATTTGTACCTACGCAGTGAAAAATCACAGTCCACGCAATACCCACCAACTAAGCGTTGATAAAGAAGTGGTCGTGGTCGATGGGGCGACAGGCGACATTCGTCAGACGCTGCTGCTGGCGATTATGTTGTGACAGCAGGTTGGTGGGAGTGCACGAGGAAATGATATGTGGGCTTGTGAATAGGCTTATCGGTGGTGATACTCACTTTTCATATACTGCAAACACACATACATACACGTATGTACCGCTTTTATATTGTTTTCAGTGGCACAGGTGCCAGTTGTTGTTACCTTTACTTTTAGGAATTTTTACCATTTATTTTATGGTTATTTTGTAAGTATGTCGCTACATCCTTTCGTGTTTTGTGTGTGCGTCATTTACATTTTTGTTGTTTATTTGTTTTCAAATAAACTGTCAATCGATTTACTTTACTCCACTCAGTCTCACTCTCTGTTATGTGTATGTGAAAATATGAGCTCGGCGATTGTTGTTGTAAAAAATGTTGCATAAATCATGGTGCCAATGGTCGGCATTTGGTATCATCCACCGGAGCCGTCAGAGTGGTACGCGTGGCTCACTCTTATTTTTCGTACGATGTTTGCATATTTGTAAGTCCTTTGTAAGCCACACTGATTTAAGTGATGTCAATCATACAGAAAACAACAACAACAACAACAACCTACCATGTCTTCTTTTACTTAATTCTGGACGCCTGGGTCGAGGGTCTTCATATTTAAGTAAACAGAATATTTTTATTGAACTGAGCTCGCTCAGCTTGTTTTACACCAATATTCCGTCTTCAGTTGCCTAAAGGGACTGAGTTTTTCGAAGATCGATAGTTATACGTGTGAAGCGAGCATCTTCGTAAAGTTTTGAAAGCTTGATGTGTAAGGGTCCGTAGAAGTGTTGTCTAGTGGAGAGTTTAAATCAATCTAACAAAATATTTCACCTTCGAGACCAGTTTATTCTGTCTCGAACTTAAGGGTTTTTGGTTGAAGTTTCTGACATAAAAAAGTTGTGGTTTAATCATTGCTTCGAAGCGGAACAGCCGTATGGTACTTAAAGTAATGTCAAACAAACACTTCTTCTTCTCTCTAAAACGCTTATTTTACTTTTTTTTTTAGCCAGTGGAAGTGAATATAAATCGATGAGTTTGGACTGTTGGAAAATCGGATAGTTAGAATAGTCATCAGTCGTTTTTCCATCACATTGGACCAGTGTCGTCTGTATTTTATTGGACCAGAATGAGATTCTGTATGATGAGGTTCTGAAAAGTGGCGATTTCAGTGAGCAATTACGACAAAAGACGATCGTAAGGGCGGCATAATTACTTACTCTTATCACAATGACAAATCTTATACCAGATTATTTTTTCAACAAAGGAAGAGATCTACACGTACAGTTTATACTAAGCCGTCTCCGAACTGCTGATAGTTTTTGTATGAGGAGCTTTTATTTTATGTCAGAAAATCTCACTCGGAGAAGAAACAGACACTCGGAGGACTTGACATTCCCTACCGAGGGGCGACTGCAATTAGAAAAATTAACTTCATATTTTTTACTCAAATTAATTTTCAATAAATTATGGATGTCGGTCGGATTAGGACCCGAATACTGGCCTTCCGAATGGCAGTACGTAATACTTACCATTCGGCTATCGCGGCCGCCTTTTTAACAATAAATCTAGAGCCTCAGAGGCGACAGTTTTGTTAATTGACGTAGCCGTCGAGATGGAAATAGGCCACATCAGCTTAAATGATTTTTATAGTGATTTTTGACAATTTCAATGCGTTGTTGAAGCGTGTAACGTTCCATTTTTATTACTGGACTGATTTTTATTGGTAAAATGTCCAAAATTGAGAGTTTAAATTGTGACATCTACCGTAATATCATAGAATATTCGGCGGTATAGACCACGTCCGGTGCAAAGTGTAGAAAATAAAGCAGCTGTAGCTGAGAGTGCACATGAAGACCACGGAGAGTCGATTTGACGGCGTTCGCAGCAACTCAGACTGACATATGGAGTGACTCGGCGCATTTTACGGCGAAATTTTTAATTGAAAGTGTACAAAATACAGCTTGTGAAAGGAATGCAGCCGCTCAACCTTACCAAGGGATATCACTTTGCTCTATGGGCTCTTGAAAAGTTCCATGAAGATCCGTCTTTTTCGAGCCAAATTTCGCCTAGTGATGGGACCAATTTCTTGCTCAATGTGTATGCAAACAAGGAAAAATTGCCGCTTTGGTATGAAGAGCAACCTTAAGAGATTCAAGAGCTGCCGTATCATCCAGTAAAAATAACGGTTCGGAATCATCGGTCCATATTTCTTCAAATTCGATGCCTGAAATTGAAGCTCGTGATCTTGCCGACATTTGTTTTCAACAAGACGGGGCGCCACTTCACACACATCGCATCAATCAATGCATTTATTGCGGGAATACTTCGATGAGCAGATAATTTCACGTTTTAGACCGGTCGATTGGTCACTAAATTCATTTGATATCAGATCGTCAGACCTCTTCCTGTGGGGTTATGTAAAGTCTAAAGTCTATGCGAAAAATCCCGCCTCGATTCAGGCCTGGGAGTAAAACATCATGCGTGTCATTCGCCAGTTACCAGTCGAAATGCTCGAAGGAGTCATCGAAAATTTTACTTAACGATTGAATTTTTTGTCTCTATGTAGTTGTAGGTTATGTATGGCAGTTAAATTAGTTACAAAAAAATCTCAAATGATTGCACAATTTCCAAGTGAATGAGTTCTTTATGGCGAACAGAGTTTGAGTAAGCGGTTGAGGTCCTTCAGAGCACCCTTTACCTTTAGCCTGTCACAATTTAACTGAAGTTATGACATTTTCAGCTTATGACAACTGCATCTAAACATACATACACACATACATTCACACACACATGCATACATACATATATTCAAACATACATACACACATACATACATACATACATATAATACATTGACAACTGTCAGTTAAATGCACGGAAGTCGCAAACAATTGTCAGCAAAGGTTGAAAGCGAATCACAGACTACTTTGCACAAAGCAATCATAGACAACATTTAAGTGCACACATAACGGTACTTGTGGCAGTTACAGTAGCGTCCTTTGTTCTAAACCACACTCGCGTAACAACCGCTTTGGTCTTCAATGCCCTCGATTTGCGACGCAAGCAAGCGGAAGAAATGCTTCCTTAGCTGACAGTTACGAATAACAAAGCAAAGCGAAGAAATAGATTTTTTTATTTTTTATTTTAGTAAATATTTTGCTAATTTTTCACCTCTCTCTCTCTCTCTCTCTCTCTCTCTTTCGTTGCAGATTCTGTGTTGGCGATCGTTTCTACCTGAATGAAAATAAAATTCTCTGCGAATATGATTATGAAGAACGGCTCGTCTTCGCCTCCATGGCCAATCATCCAATATTGAAGCGTCACGCCAATGCCATCGGACAGGGCTCACCAACCGGTGCGGGTGCATTGATGGGCGGCGGCGGTGGCGGCGGTAGTCCCAACAATCATGGTAATGTTGTGCAAAATGGTCCACGTACACCTGGCGATCATAACAACAATAACAATGGTCCACAAGCTGGACCCGGCGGCTCGCCATTTAATAATCTGCAAGTACGTGTGTTATCACCGGCGTCAACAGTGGCGCATATGAAGAACTCATTGGGCGCGTCCAGCTAAAATAAAGCCCAAGCCATGAACGTTGGTGGTGGCGCAAATTGTGCTGGCGGTGGTGTTGGCGGTCTTGGCGTTGGCGTCAACGTTGGAGCGGCGGCAGCGGCTGCTGGAGTTAGTGGTTGCTATTATAATAACGGTGTAAATGGCATTGCTGGCGGTGTGGATCCAGCTGCTGCTGCCGCCGCTGCTGCAAATGCTTGTGGCGCCGGTGCCGCTGCCGTCGCCGCTGCCGGTGGTGTGGGTATTGGTGTTGGTGTGGACGGCGGCTGTAAAAGCTACCAAAGAAAATATTACGATATATAAATTGACTGAATGATGAGGGTTTGATGGTGTGTGTGGGGAGCGTTATCTTCACAGTACCAACCAGCCAGTAATGTTGTTTGAGGATATACATACATACATACATATATATTAAATTAAATTACAGTATAATTGATATTGAATAATATACATACATACATATGTATATGTAAATATTTGAGTTGTGTGTATGCATGTGTTTGTATTGATTTATAGAATTAGTTATTTAAATATAAAATTAAAAAAATATTATTATTATATTTGACTCAGTTATTATTAGTAACCAACACGCGCTCGTATTTTCATTATTACTGATATACAAATTTATTGTTCATATGTAAATTTCTGCTTGCGTCGGTAGCGATGGTGTGTCCCTTTAGCAAAGAATTTTAGTTTTAAGTTTAAATTATAAATAACAGGACAATATTTAATTTTAATTATTTATATTGTATAATAATTTTTATTATAATATAATTTAATTATTTTAGCACTAGAAATATGTATAATAAATTATGATTTTTAATTTCTTTTAAAAAACATTCGGTGTGCTGCATAATGTAGCTTAAAAAAATATTGTTTGTTTGTAAATAATACTATATTAAAGGTATTAAATTTGGGAAAAAATTTAATTTTGGAAAGAATGCGGTTTGACAGAGAGCGTAAAAATGTGCCAAAATGTGTTTGTAAGCAAAATTGTGAGGAATATAAAATGAGAGAGCTCGATTTGAATATAAATTATTTAAATAATTTTACTAAATTTATTTGATTTGAGCGGAAATTGTGAAACCAGATTTAAATACTTAATGTAAAAGAAATATATTAATTTGTATTTTGTTTAAGGTTTAATATTTTTTCTTATTTTTATTTAGTTATGTTTAATTTATTTTTTATTAATTTATTTTTAATTTCTTTATTTTTTTTAATTTTGTATAATTGTTGTTTTTTTCTTAATTTTTTTGTTTGTTTTTATTTTATTATTTTGTTTTATTTTTAGGTTTTAATGCGTTTTTGATAATTTTTTTCCGTTTTTCATGTTTCATTGCCCTTTGAATGTAATTAGTTTTTCTCACAGCAACTTTAAAATTTATTCACTTTTAAAGCAATTTAAATTTAAATTTTTGTTTTAATTTTAATTTTAATTTTAATTTTAATTTTAATTTTAATTTTAATTTTAATTTTAATTTTAATTTTAATTTTAATTTTAAATTTAATTTTAATTTTAATTTTAATTTTAATTTTAATTTTAATTTTAATTTAACTTATATTTCTTTTTCATATAACTTTTAAAATTTTTTCGTGTCGAGGATTTGTTGCGAGAGGCCGGAATTCCAACAACTGTGATCGGGAGAGGTACCGCTCTTTGATAAAAAGCAAGCGCAAGATCAAAAAGACCGATAATAATTGTTGGAATGGATTTCACTGAAAAATAAAAATACTGAGTTGTTGCTGTTGTGAAGGTTAAAATAAAAAGAAGCTCAGAAGATCGGCAGCCTTGTTTTATTTTGAAATTTAAAAACATCTCTCTTCTTATTAATGTAATGAGTCATTTGAGCCATTTGTACTACCAGCAGCGACATCTCTTGGTGCACAGGGTTGTTTGCAGGATTTTCCCTTCATTATGGCATTTTATTGATGAGCCGTCTGTCTGATAAATATTTCGGCGCAGTTTTGTGAAATAAAAAAGGAATTAAAAATATTTTATTTAACTATCACAGATTTTAATTAGTATTTATATTAAACGTGTTTGTATTTATTATTATTTATTTTGATTATTATTTATTTTTAATATTATTTAGTTTGAATAATCATTATTTCTTCTAATTATCATTTATTTTAATTATTATTTATTTTAATTATTACTTATTTTAAATATTAATTATTTTAAATAATATTTAAATTAATTAATAATTATTAGAATTTTTTATTTTATTAAGCTTACAAATTAGTTTAGATTAGAGAAAATAATAATTTTTTAAACTTTTCACTTTTATTTATTTTTCCACATAATTTTTTACTAATTTTTTTAGGACTCATGTCGAAAAGTTGTAAATTAATTTTTTTTAAAAATCAAACAAACTGGTGTTTTTAGTCATCCCCACCGAACTTCATTGACTCACTGACTTAGTTTTCTTAACTTAAATTAAATTATTTTAAAAATATTCAAAAACTATTTTAATAATAATTATAATTTAAATTATGTTGTTTAACTGTTAAGTGCGCTGTTTTTATTAATAAAAAATTAAAACTTAAATAAAGTAAAGAAATAAAATCAATTGTATATAAAGCGTATGTATGTAAAAAGCAGGGCGCATATCCAGCGTGAGCTATAATTTATTAGCGATTATGTAAACAAACAAAATAAAATGTAATAAAATTAAATATTATACATAGATTTCATACAAACTCTTTTGCACATTGTACGAATGCTAAAGCCATACATACATACCTATGTATGAGTGTATGTATGTATGTGAAAAGAAAAGGAGAAATTTAATTGTTGATTATTTTTTAAGTTTAGTTTAGTGTGAGGCTAAATAAATTTTAACCATATTAAATAGTTTTCGAACAAACGAACAACAATTGTACAGTGTATGTTTATGTATGCGTATTATGTTTAATAACGAACTATCAATGCGTGCGAATATAAAGAAAAAAATTTTTTTTTTAAATATTCATATTATATAATATAATATAGTTAAGTGTGTGTATAATTTATAAAAGCAATATATAATTGTAGTGGATTAATGAAAGAATGAATTTAAGGCGGCGGAGTAAGAAAAGTCAGATAGAATAAAAAAAAAAATTAAATAAAATAAAATAAAACTGCATACATATATACAATATGAAATTTCTTTGTTCTATTTTATTTAAATAAAATGCATTAAATACCATAAAACATTCAAGCCGACTAAAAAATGTAAAAAAAATTCTTAAAAAATTGCGAAAATACACCAAAAAGCGAGCGAGCTCAATTTGAATTTGAAAATTTTGTGTTGTAGAATATCTACTATACATACATATAAACAATATAATGAAATGAGCAGTAATAATTAACAAAACCACCAAAACTAAATAAAAAAATGTAACATCAAAATCAGTTCCGCTGCAGATATTTTAAAATTTAAAAATGTAATGTAAAAGCAAAAATAAAAATAATTGAAAAAAAAATTAAAAAAAACAGATTTTCAAAAAAAAAAAAAAAAACTTAAAAGGTAAACTAAGTCACTCGAAGAACTCAAAAACTTTTACAACACACAAAAGCTTTTCTTTAAAATACTAAAAAATGATAACTTGAAAAAATTAAAAAAATAAATGAACAAAAATAAAGCAGGCACGAGGATTGTCATTTGTACTTTTCGGGATCATTCTTCTTCATTGGCTATGATAGCTGAATCCACAACAACGCGCCGTTCTTCCATTCTTTGCGCTACCTGGCGACAATGAGAAATACTAAATAAGTGAAACCAGGTCACTCTCGCCATGATCATTTCAACAGAGTTAAGGTCTTCCTCTTCCTCTGCTTCCACCAGCGGGTACTGCATCGAATAATTTCGAAGCTGGCGCGCTTTCATTTATACGGAAGACATTACCCCAGCCAATGTAACCACTGTCTCTTCATGCGCCGAACTATGTCAATAACGTCTTATAACTCCTACAGCTACTCGTTCCATTGAATGTGGTATTCGCCTTTGACATTGCGCAAAGGATCATAAATCGTTCGTAAAACTTTTCTCTCGAAGCTTTCCAAAAGCCGCCTCATCGGGTTTTCGCGATTAGAGACCAAAATCAAATATTAAAGTCGCATTATTGTTTTTTAAAAAATTCCCCATTAAGATCTATACTCTTATCCAGGTGTTTGAATGCATTCTCGAAACACTTTAGCCACGCTGTGTCTGGTATTCCCCAAACAAGCGTCCTCAAGGTATCAACCGCCTCTGCAGGTGTCGAAAAACGTTGAACTCTCAGTTTAGTTTTTACGTACGGGAATGAAAAGAAGTCTTTCGGTGCCTAGCTAAGACCAAGCTGAGTCGGATGGCTCATCGAATCGTTGTTTTGTGTGTTGAAAAATGCTGCTGTCCGCCTTCGTCGGTTGGTTTTCCCGATTTCTTGCAGGACAACAGGCAAACATATGGTTGTTTACCACTTAGAATTTACTGTTCTGTGCTGTTCTAGTGGTACGATTAAGAAATGTCCAGCAACCTGGCAACCATTTCCTTAGAAGTGCTTCTTGCTTCTTGCGGTTTCGGCTCAACTTTAAACCCCAAACAGTAGACCGCTGTTTTCTTTCGGACTCATACTCGTAAATCCACAACTCAACAACTGTCTCGATAACATAGACGTGTTACGAAGCAAACGCGATCGTCTTTTATTTAACTTTTCTTTAGACCAATCAACACGAGCTTTTGTTTTGAGCGATTTACAAATTCTGTGGAATCCAATATGAAAGATTTTGTGTCACTCTCAAATATTCTCGCAATATTAATGGTACGCTGGCCCCACTATAGGCAATAAGTTGTCTCAATCTCACGATAGAACAAATGACGTTCTTGGAATATCAATTTGTATACCGTACAGAAGCAATAATTTCCGAAACAAAAACTGATTTTGGTATACCTACACGAAATCCGTCTTGGCGTGATATACGAACTCCATTGAATTCACCATACCATCGACAAGCACAGTCTCTTGATGGATCTTCTTTGCTAAAAATTTACTATAGTTCATTGAGGTACTGTTAATTAGTAAATCCAGGTCGAAAGCTCCTTTTTTCGACTATTTTTTGGCTGAGTTGAATATTTTAAGTTACTGTAAAGAGCAAGCAGAGCGTGCGTACGTCGAAAAGCCCTGTGGTGGGTATAACATCAAAAATGTCAAACTTTGGGATGAAGTTGTCAGTTGCCAAATCTCGATATATAAAGGGTAACCCTCGTATTTTTCCGAGCACAGCAAGAAAGCTAAAATAGACAGAAAAAAAACCAAAGTTAATGAAGTGTGGAGCAAAATGAAAAATAAAAAAAATAAATATAAAATAAATAAATTAAATATATATATATAAATAGTTTAATATTATATAGCATTTTTGTAGCCGCTCGAGTGTGAACACTACTTATACCTACATACACGTACATACATACATAAATAAATA